CAAAAAATTTATTTGGACACTTGAATTTATAATAAAGATAATGGTTTAAACGGATTTCATGTATTATTCATATTTTGCCAGAAAAAAATTCCTAAAAATTAGCTTGTTTTTTATCTCGTCAGGGTATACTAATCCCTTAAGACGGAGCGAAAATAATCACGGGATAACTCGCGCGATTTACTTGACTCTTAGCGCCGAGCCGCGGACACGTGTCTCGCGATCGATTCTCAAAGAGCTCATGTTTTTATCGCGCATTTGTAGATTTCAGAGGAGAGCTTCTGCTCCACTCACGCGGCGGTGGGCGCCATACTGAGCAAGTATAACGCCCAGGAGCAAACACCTCACAGACAGAAGCTAACTTGGAGACTCTCGGGGCGCACCGCCGATGCTTTACGTCCGACCGACAAGTTCAGATCCGTGCTGCCCGCCATCGCGGAACACGTGCCGAATCCGTCTCCGAGCAGGATCAGGTATCTATTATCGCTTCTCCGGGTCGAAATTAAGGGGGTATATATACCTTGTTAGAAATTTTGAAAAAGTCGATTTTTCGAAAATCATATTTTCTTAAAGTATATAATATTAGAAATATTTTCTCTCAAAATTTTAAGTTGTATTTTCATGGAGATACACGATCTCAAATATACGTTCGAATATCCGTCGAAACGAAACGATGACGATAGTTTTCTTAGTGCATCTGCAAAAAAACTTAAGAATATATCGTCGGCAACAACAAATTGACGGATTTCGGATTCGATTTTTTCTTAACAAAAAAAGTTTTAGAAGCAACAACTTTAGCAGAGAGTGTATTATATGGTCTCCGAATGGATAGAATTCTTGTGTAAATTGAAATTTAGTATAAACTGCACTTGAAACTTTAAAAACGCGTTTTTCTCAAAACTAGGTTTTCAAAATCGGTGACCACGATATCTCAAAAACCACTGCACTGATCAATTTGCAATTTTACATGCTTCTTTTAGACATGTAAATCTAGTCTTTTTATCGAAGGATTTTTTTTCCAATGCGTACTTTTTTTTTAATGAACGAAAAATGTCCGGTTTTTTAAAATGAAAATCGAACTTAAACTTTGAACAGTCGCCATTTTGTCGCAATTCAATTTTTGGAATAGCGATCGATTAGAAAGTAGATAAGTTCATATATTTATTAAATTTTTTGGATTTTTTTCATTTCTGATAACCTCGTTCCGAACAGTAGTGATTATCGCAAAACGCGTTTTCGAAAACGGTTTTCCAGACATTAACTACAACTTACTCATTTATTAAGATTTTTGCATAAAAAAATATGAAAACTTTGTCAAAAATAGGCTCTTTCGAATATAAAAACTTTGATACAAAAATATGCATATACTTTTTTCGAAAAGAATTCACGAAAATTCATCTTTTTTTTCGGCCTCCTAACTAGGTATAGTTAATAAAAATTTCCCTTAAAAAATCGTACATTACTCGAGCATAGAGTTGAATCTTTCTTTCTTTTGCAGGAAAAATCGTAAATACGCCCGACGCCACGGCAATAAGAGACGTTAAAGTGGCATCGCCTTTTTTTGAGGTATGCTTGATTTTATTTCACCCGTAAAGGCTACGTCTCTTTTGAACATCCGTAAAGAACACCTGAGTGCAAATTCGCACTAAGCGTTTTTAAAGTTTTATATCTTCTGAAAATAAAAAAGCAAAATTAAAGCAAAAAACGTGTGTTTTCCAATGTAAAATTTTCTGACCAATCAATTGGCAATATTAAATTTTCGAAAAAAGAACGTAATTGTTTTCAAAACCGCGCGTGAAACAAAACCATTTTCTCACAAATGCCCACAAGTTGAAAATTTTGTGGGTGCGAATTCGCACTGAGGTGTCCTTTACGGGTTAAATACTCCACTGTTGAAGATATCTTTATAAAACATTACGAATCTTTGAAACGAGCTCTTGTCACATGTTCACTTTTCATTTTTTTTTTTCAGAGTACGGTACTGAGATTTCCATCTGGTATATCAAATAATCTTTACTTTTGGTATACTTAATATCTGGTATGCGTCAAGATTTTCACTTTTTCCCAGTACGAAGATTAAAATTTTACTCGAAAATATAAGATTCTGTTTGCGCAGAATGACGTCTTAGAAGCTTTGTTTGTATTATCTATTCAATATGTCATACTGGCAATGTATTAAGTCATCGTCTCTCGCTATATATACGATATAGTTACGTATATTACATTTTGCCAGTATGCGAATCATTATCGCACCGTATATTAATATATTAATTTAATATATTCCTGGCTCACTTTCTCATCGCATTACACGCACATATTTCGGAATATTTGAGCAAATATTTTATAAGGACAAGGATTTGAGCTTCTCCCTGTTCCTAGCGGGAAGTTCGAATACTGAGAGAGCGAGGAGGCGAAGTATATAAAAAGCGCTGTGAAAAGCAAAACGAAGTAGAAGTCGTTGAGAAATATTGAAAATTAATGTGATATACATGTCCTTTATAGTCATTATTATCTAATGAGTAAAACAACAATCGCTAAAAACGCGTATATCTATATATTTACAAAATTTGTTAAAAACGAGAAAAAAAGATATAAAAGAGAGAGAGTGATATAAGAACTGCGAAAGTGTTGAGAATTTCGTGTAATGTAAATCGATTATTAAAAGAAAGGGGGAAAAAGGGATTATAAAGATAAGTCGATTGACACCAATTAGAGTCAAACGGGCTGAAATCTATGCTAAGTTTGACGAAGAAAAAAAAAATGTTTCGTTAGGTCTAATTTGTGTCCCGAAATACGCTTTTCTTTATCGTATCTTTGTATCGAGAAAACGGAAACAATCTCATATGTATACCCCAAAGATAAGCCATATTTTCTTTTATAAAAATCGTGTTCGCATCGCTTCTCTTTGTGAAATTATCTCGTACATTTTGGGATTAAGATTAAGTTCTCTTGCGGTAATAGAATATGCCTTCTTATTGGCATCAGTTAGCTTTACGATCATTCATTATCTGATTCGTCGCGATAGCTCGTAACACAAGAGAGAGAGAGAAAGAGTCAAGGAAAAAAGCATGAAGAAATACTCGTAAAGCTGATCTGCCTATCTCTCCTAAACCTTAATTGATCGCATAATATTTCCTAGATCTGTAAACCGCGTGCATTTGCAGCCAATTAAGGATTATGAGCGATCGTTGTATCGAAATGTAGTGAAATTCGGAAGCAGGCGTAAGCACGTGATGCGTTGTAATGCGAGCAAACGCAGTAATTGTAATTTTATTTGCCTAAAACATTGAATTTTTCAGGCGGTTTGTGTGATTTTCAGCTCTGTCCAGGATTGTATTCTTTTGGGCTTGAAATTGTGAAACATGTTAATATTTATTCCTGTTCCTACTTCTTACTTTAATTATGGTCGTTTTCCCGTAACGTGACGTTCGATGAAATTAAATCACTAAAAATGTTTTACGTAATGTCATTTTAAAAAACGTATCTGCAATATCTCACGGATAATACATAATTAATAGTATTGTATAGTCTGCCTATATGTATATACATGTATACGTATACATATACAATACATATTATGTATATTATATATATATTATATATATATATATATAAAATGTCATTTTGTGTATTTAAATATACATATAATTGGTATACATATATGAGAGATATGTGTGTGATGTTACCTATTATATGTATACTTCCATACGTACAAAATGACATTTTACACACACACACACACACACACA